ACCCTTGAAGTTAGGGTTTCTTCCAGAACGGCGGACTCGCCGAGTCCAGGATATGGTCTCGTCGAGTTACCAACTTAAACGTGCTCGATATCTCGCCCCTACTCGGTGAGTCAGGCATACAACTCACCGAGTTCTAGCTAAATATGCAAAAATACTTAGATTAAAATACATACCAGGAACCAGGTCCTACATGGTGCCTTCGATCCATTGGTATGGTGAGGAGACTCACCTATTGTGAATGCTTAAGTGACAAGATAAGATCAGATAAGTCCCAAATACCGCTCCACCTTAACTGCCTATAATCATCATGTGATTAACTTGTCACAATGCTGAAATACCATAAATACCCTCAAAGTCAACCCTGATCAAAGTCAAGGTCAACAGTCCATGTTGACCTCAACTTGTCGAGTGCATCCAACAACTCGCCAAGTTACCTGGGTAACTTATCAACTCGCTGAGTTACTTGAGTAACTCGTCGAGTTCCTTAATGTCCAGAAGACCAAAAACTTATGTAGTCCAAAATCTCTAATCCTTCACCGAAATCACTCAGAATCTCGAAAACGGGTAAACCCTACCCGACTCGTCGAGTTGGTTAAGGAGCTCGTCGAGTCCCTTTAGTCCTTTTTTTGTTTAGAATTTTTTAAGCTACCCCAAAGCTCCAACTTACAGATCTAGCCTCCTAGGGCATGGTTTCCCCGTAAAGTTGCAAACTTTACGTGCATGCAAGATCTCAAATGCCAAAACCAAGCTAAGGGAGGGATTTAAGCCATAGAGAAGGGCCAACGTTTGATAAATTCAATAACTTTATAGCTGTAAGGACTTAGAGGAGTCCAGATTTGAAGTTACAATTTCAGATCATGCCCAACACCCGAAATGATCCACAAATATACTAGAAATGGCCTTAAACCCAAGAAAAAGGATATCTAATACTAGAATGATCAAGGTAACAACTTGTCACCTTCAAATGGAAGCCCAAACAATGTAGATACTGGATCTACAGGCTCCTTCCCATTCCAAGCTTCTCAACCTTCAAACTTCTTCAACAAAATGCACTAAAAACACTCTCTAAGCCTCACGATCACAAGGAAGCAGCAAAGAACGGCTAGGATTTCTCCTCTGGGTAATGAGGTGGTAAGGGAGGCCAAAAGATGTGGATTAAGTCCTTTATATAGGGTGCAAATCTAAAAATTAGGGTTTTCCTTTACAGCGCCTACTCATCGATTCGGGGCCTTCCTACTCGTCGAGTAGGATCTAAATCCCGTGTACTCATAAATGACCTATACTCGACGAGTTGGAGCTCCCCAACTCGTTGAGTCCTAGCAGAAAACCCTAAAAACATAGAAAATTAAATGATACTTGGAATAGGCGTTACACAGCATCATCTTTGTCAATAAGATGATACTTTGCAAAAATTTGGTCAAGTCGTTTGCGACTAACGGAAGAGTAAACGACGAGCATAAGCAAACAAGACATTCTCTTGCCAACACTAATGATGATTCAAAAAGAAGAAAAAAAGAGAGAATAAAAAGAAAATAAAGGAAGAATAAAAAAAACTATCAAATATGTGACAAACATTTATGAAAGGAGAAGCGAGAAAGCCAACTGCTACGAAAAACGCTCAAGTACCTGTAGGCCTTCATTACGATCTAGGCACGTAGGACAAACATCACATAATGCCTATTTTGGATAAATTCAAAAATACAATACTATTTAAGCTTAATTATTAGAAACCAACAACACTTTATAAAAATTAGGCTAGGGGACTTAATGTGGTATGAGAGGCAACCCACATGATACCAGGCCAGCCAACGAACCCGGTTTGGTAACATATACATGAATGATACCGAGAACATATATCAAGAATCACCTTACTCCCGTACACAACCTATGAAGCATCCCCAGTAAACACGGAAAAGACAAACCTATTATATTAAAAAAGAGTCTTACCCTTACGACCTAAGGACCAATGAAAGGCCCAGAAGAAGAGACCACGAACTGGTCCGAGCATTAACTATAAAGCAAGGTTCCACCCAATCCAAGTAAGACAAGCACACCCTTTGCAATTCTATTCAACCTATTGCTACCTGGAGTCTTGGATGCATGTATGGCTATCCCATCACGGTCTTCTTCCAATGAGAATTCCTGGTAACACACTGCAGAAAGTTAACAAAGGTAGGTTAAAAAGTCATACCGAGGGTGGAATCCCTGTATTGCTCTCAGATGCCTAAGTATGATGTCATATTTAAGGCATGGATATGGGTTGAATAGAATTGCAAAGAGTATGTTTGTCTTAGTTGGATTGGGTGGAACCTTGCTTTATAGTTAGTTCTCATACCAGTTCATGGTCTCTTCTTCTAGGTCTTGCGTTGGTCCTTAGGTCGTAAGGGCAAGACTCTTTTTTTTTTTTTTTTTTTTAATAAAATAGGTTTGTCTTTTCCGTGTTTCATGGGGATGCTTCATAGGTTGTGTACATGAGTAGGGTGATCCTTGTTGTACGTGATCAATATCGTCCCTGTATATGTTACCAGGATAGGTTTGTTGGCAGGCCTGGTATTACGTGGGTTGCCGCCCATACCCCATTACCAAGGGTGGTTCTCTTTGGGTGCCCACAATGGCAACGACAACCATTGCTTTTTCTGTACGTAGTGTAAAATTTTCAAAAATTTTCTTTTTTTTACTATAAAATGTGCCACCGGCAACACCAACAATGAAATCTTGTGTCCGCCCCTCCCATTACAACCCATATTCGTGCCTTAAATATGACATTTAATTTAGGCATCGGAGAGCAATATCGGGGTTCCACCATCGGTATGACTTTCTAACCTATCTTTGTCAACTTTATGCAACATGTTGCCACTCATTTGAAGAAGTTTGTGATAGGATAGCCATACATGCATCCATGACTCCACATAGCAACAGGGGGTTGTTGGATCAGGTCCTACTCTTCTCACTCACAAACTAAAGAAAATACCGTGTGTTTAATATATGAGAAATATATAGAGAAAAGAAGTGTTATTGACTCAGAAAAAACTGCACTAATTATTCAATAGATATGAGACTATTTATAGCTAGTACATGAAGCTGAAATACTAGAAGCTGAAATACGTTTGGAGGACAAGGAATGAAATCTGTTTTCTGTTTAGTTTGTTGATTTTACAAAGGAATTAGAAAATAAATTTTATAATACGACGATAATAAACGTACATAGCATGTAAAGAAAATTGTTCATACTTCACACAAAGAAACTAGAGATGTAGTAAGCAGCACAAATGTTAAAAAATTATGCTATTTTCTATCAGACAAAGATGAATCACATATTACAAATATAAAAAAAAATGGTTGAACACAGTTAATTGTAGAAAAATTTAACATGAGATGTTTACCTGTAAACGAAGATGATAGATACACCAAAGCAGTAGAAGAATGATGAGCTAGAGATGAAATACGACAGTAATTGTAGAAAAGATATGATCGATAAATGATTTTTTTTGACAAATACCGATTGGAGAAAAATATAATCGATAGAAGAAGGTAATCGTAGAAAAGATATGAAAAATCACATAGTTTATTTTATTTTACTAGAACCACATATATATGGGAGGATAATTGTGTAACAAAAAAAAAAACTAACAGAATGTGGATTCCTTATAGACAGGGAATGAATGGGAAATCTTTCATACACGGAATTAAAAAGTAATTATGGAAATCATATTCCATTCCTTCTATTAGCCAAACACGTTTTGTATTGGATTTTAGTTTTCAATTCCTTAGGAATCAAACGAAACAAACTACTCCTAAAACACTACTAAAATAAGTAAATAACAACCTATCAAGATTAAAACCCAACAGGGGTTATAATAAAGAGTTGTTATGTCCTGTAATCTATCTTTTAAAATCGTATATGTAGGATTAGAATAGAATTTGCCGTTAAAAAAAAATGGACTATATGATTTTACAACGTTTTCTTAAGAATAATAATAATAACATGAATATTGAAATTTTTTGTAAAAAAGGTGATTGTTCAATATTATTGAAAAACAAAAAGTTCAAAAAGAAAGCTGTTCAAGAGTTGTCATTCCATATGTATTTAGCAACTTTATAAACACAACGCAGCATTCATTTATTCAACCAAAACATTTTTAACTTTTATTCTTTTTGTAAAAGAAAAATAAAAGCAAAAGGGGTATCATCGGTCCAGGTCCTCCCGGATAATTACTAGCTTGGATTCATTTTATCGATAAGGAATAAAATTTAGAAAATTAAAATAAGAAATTAGTTATTTGTAGACCATGCCTTGTCCAATTTCTAAAGAGAAATTAGAAACATATATAAAACCTGAAAAAATCTATGTGTGAAACCATGAAAGTTACTCAATCTTATCATCAAAGTTGAGCATGATTTCCACATCTTTTAAGCTCAAAACGATAATCATCTTTTGCATTAATATCAACACATCAAGGTTAAACCCATTTTCACATTTTAATATAAACTCTTTCAACTTTATGAGTTCACCATTAATTCTAAAAAGATAACTTCTAAAAGTATAATTGTTAAAGGGATATTACTTATTAGTGATGAAAGAACCACCCATAAAAACTTATTTATCGACTCATGTTCTATGAAATTCGTAAAAGATATAGTAGTAAGTATACACCGACTTTGATCGTTGGAATTTTATCCAACTATGAATGTCAGTAATTATAGAATAAAATATATATATGAATATTATTTATGAAACCATGCATAAGAAATTAAGAAGCAATCAAAATAATGATGAGAGGAATACACAAATACCAACCATTTGTGGCAAAAGATCAACAATTATTTCACCCACCCCACTATATTTTCCCATTGCCTCACTTCAAAGTTAAGCAGCACAAAAAAGGGCTTTCAAACAAATGATAACCACCACACCTTTATGATCATGACTACTCGTATCATATCACCCTTTTATATCCTTACCAGAAAAATTACCCTATTTTTCATACCCAAAACTAACCATGATTCCCTTACTCTTCCTCCTCCTCTCTCTTCTCCCTCACAGATCTTTCTCCGCTCACTGCACCACCGTCACCACCACCAAAACCTTCGAAAAATGCATGTCATTACCCTCCCAAGAAGCTTCAATAGCATGGACGTTCCACAGACATAACTCAACTCTCGAGTTGGTCTTTTCCGGGACCTTTATATCACCTTCCGGTTGGGTCGCATGGGGTATAAACCCTACCTCACCTGAAATGACCGGAACACGAGCTCTCATCACCTTCCCGGACCCAAACTCCGGCCAGTTGGTCCTCCTACCTTACATCATAGATCCAACTGTGAAACTTCAACGGAGTCCACTCCTCTCTCGGCCACTCGACATCCATCTCGTATCTTCTTCTGCCGCCTTGTACGGCGGCAGAATGGCGACGGTCCATAACGGTGCCACCATTCAGATATACGCCACGTTAAAACTTAAACCAAACAAGACCAAGATTCATAATGTGTGGAACAGAGGGTTGTATGTACAAGGCTACTCTCCTACAATCCATCCAACCACCATCGCTGACCTTTCCTCAATCACCACCATTGATGTTTTATCAGGCGTATCAGCTTCTGGACCAAATAGCAACATCAGAACTCTAAAACTTGCTCATGGCTTTATGAATGCAATTTCATGGGGGGTATTGTTGCCAATCGGAGCAGTCACTGCACGCTACTTACGACACATACAGTCATTAGGGCCTACGTGGTTTTATGTCCATGCCGGAATTCAGCTTTTTTCGTTTGTGCTAGGGACTGCTGGATTCGCGATTGGGGTTCATCTCGGAGAACTGTCGCCGGGAAGGGTGTATGGGCTTCACCGGAAGCTGGGGTTTGCAGCGTTTTTTTTGGGTAGTCTTCAAACACTGGCGCTGCTATTTAGGCCAAAGACTACGAACAAGTTCAGAAAGTACTGGAAATCGTACCACCATTTTGTGGGGTATGCTTGTGTGATTTTGGGAGTTGTTAATGTGTTTCAAGGATTTGAAGTGATGGGGGAAGGGGGGTCTTATGCTAAGTTAGTGTACTGCTTGTGTTTATCAACGTTGATTGGAGTTTGTGTGGCCTTAGAAGTCAACTCTTGGGTAATATTCTGTAGGAAATCGAAGGAAGAGAAGTTGCGAAGAGAAGGGGTTATAAGGGGTCAAGAGAAAGCTTGTGGATCAGAGCATGGTGATCGACACTAGCCTCTTCGAGTTTTCTTATTTCCCACTTAACAAATTTTGTTTGTAATCTTTTATTGATTATGTAAAATTCACCTTTGATTTATCAAGAATTATTAAAACACATATATAGCATCACACGACACAAATACCTTAATCAACCTGGCCGGCAATGCGGGTCGAGTCCAACCCGTCCCGCATGTTATCATGTCGGGTTCATTTCACATAATGTATTTTTGTGTTGGGTTCGTCTCGTTGGTGTGTTATGGTTTGTATGTGACAATTTTTTACATCCCTATTGCAAAAGTGTGCAACATTCGAAAAATATGATTTTTTAGCGATTTTATACAAATGTGAATATAGAATTTTGTGTTGCCTTTTGTTGAGAAAAGTAAACTTTTATTATCAAACTTAAACATTAATTTATATTTTGTATTAGAAGTGTATTTCTTGTATTAGGTGTTATAGGATTTATGTGCGGATCCATTTCAGGTTATAACCCGGGTATATAGAGCAATCAACATGAGATGATGAATTATTCTGCATCAGATATTTTTCTTAGATAGTTCTTATCCTCTCTCTCTCTCTCATACATAGATGAGGGTTTGTTCATATTGTAAAGTAAGAATATGTGTCTTACAGTTTTCTGTTGAATTCTAGTTTTCATATGAGAGTGAGTAAATGTGTAATGAGGTTTCTTTTGTAATCTGTTGATGTGTAAACCATTTGTTTCATAGTGAATGAAATGATGAAGTTGGGAAATCTTTGAGTTGTTCAGTTTCATTAGATGGTATCAGAGCTTTAGGCTTTGTTTTCTGTTCTTCAACGCTTGGTGTGATTGTTCGTCTCTTGGTGGTTGAGGTATATTCAGATCTTGTCTTTTTTTGTTTGAATCTATTTGTTGTTTACCAATCTAAGTGTTCGTCTGAACTCTTGGTTCGTTGATTCATAAATTGTTGTTCGTTCGGTCTGATTTAGGGTTTTTACCTGGAAAATCAAATCCAACGTTTCCTTTGTTGTTTTTCTTCTAGATCTTGGTACTGCAAGATTTGTTTGTGTTCTTGCAGGTCACTGCTGGGGTTCTTGTTGTTTGTGATCGTTATCTCTTCTGTGAGTTGTTCATCGATTGATAAAACAAACTAGTCGGTTAATCTTCTTGTCTGAAATAACTCTCTAGGGGTCGGATTTCATCACCGATAAACTCTAGTAGGGAACGGACAAGGAGAGTCGATTCCTCTTACACGTCTCAAAGCACTGTGAGAATATTCTTGTACCTTTCTCTTTGTTCTATATATCTGTTCTGGGAGATCCTGGTGTCTTGTGTACACTAGTTATTGTCTTACTATTTGTGCTATTTGTTTTTGTTTTGTGTTCCTTCTGTACTGGTGTCTTGGGCCCCGACATACATGGTGACCATCTGGACTTAATATCAGTGCAGAAGTGAGTTCTTTGTTTCTTGGTTGTTTTCTATATGGGTGGTGGTCCTTCTGATCCACCTGGTGGAAGTGGAAATGATGATCAAATTAATTTTGATGATCCTCTTTACATCCATCCTTCTGATAATGCTGTTACATCAATCATTACAACGAAATTAACTGGAAATGAAAATTTTAGACTTTGGAGGAGCTCCATTTCTAGAGCTCATAAAGCTAGGAATAAGCTAGGGTTTGTAGATGGTACTTTTAAAAGAAGTAAGGTTGATGTGTAACACCGAAAATTTTCAAAACAAAATTTTCAATTTTTATAAAACATAATTCCATTGATATTCATTAAACAACCATTTTAATTATCCAAACAAGACAATACAAAATCCCAAGATCATGATATCAAGCTCCGAATGTGTGTGTGTACGGATCAAGCCGGCGCCTTCCCGCGGTCGTCACTAGTACCTGAAACAATAACATCAACACTGTAAGCACAAGGCTTAGTGAGTTCCCCAAAATACTACATATAACACATATTAGCCACTCGAGGCTATAACTCTGTGGGTCCGTGCACCCAAACTCTGTGAACCCTCAGGTTCTAACTCTGTGAACCTTCCGGTTCTAACTCTGTAAACATGCACAGCATCAAACACATAGAAGTAATGCAGTACAACACATAACATACATAGCATACAAATACTCTATCACATAACTCTGGTTACCTACTCAAGGTAAAGTATAGTGAGAAGACTCACCTCGCGTGTCTCGGTAAATCGTAAACCTGAAATCGCTAATCACTCGACCTGTCGAGCTGTCGTCCCCTATAGCACAATACACCTCTAATTAACACTTTCCCACTAGGGTTGACCACACTATAACAAGTCAATCTAGGTCAACGCTGGTCAACGGTCAACGGTCAACTTTGACCGGACTCGGCGAGTACCCAGGCGACTCGGCGAGTCTGGGCGTGTACACCAATTTCCCTGGAATCCTCCCTTGACACGTCGAGCATTCCCTCAACTCGACGAGTTCCACCTGGCACGAGTTGTGGGGCCACCACAACTCAACTCGCCGAGTCTCAAGAACAACTCGGCGAGTCCAGTTAGACTCAGTCCACCTGTCCATTCTGACTCCCCCTTGACTCACTGAGTCCACCTTTCCCAACTCGGCGAGGCCACTCACAGAGTGGTCGGGCAACATTCATGCTACTCGCCGAGTCTGTTCTTCGGACTCGGCGAGTCCATGCCATGCACTGACTCAATCTTGCTCTAAAGGTCAGATCCAGTTCATTAATCCATAGATCCAGTCCCTCCAAGCTCATTTAGCACGTAAAGTTACAATCTTGATGCACATACAACCTTTATATGACCATATATGATGTTTATGACTCAAATACTACAACACAAGGCCAAAGACTCTATTGTCACTCATAAAGCTTGATGAGTGAGGCTCTCTGGACCTCTATGGATCCAGATCCATGGCCTCAACTCAAAGAGGGAACCAATGGGCATCAAATCATCCCATAAATGACCACCACAAGCCCTAAATTGCATCATGCTTCACTAAACAGAAAATGGTCCGAGATAATACCTCTAGAGTGATGATCTAAGCTCCAAATCCACGAAATAGCAACCTCCTTTGCTTCCTCTTGCCTAGGGTCTCCTTCTTCTTGCTAGATAACACACACAAGATCAAGAATGGCTCCTTTCTCTTCACAAATAGCTCAAGAACACAAGGGTCACTCACTGAGGGTTGGGTGAGCACAAATGACGGCCATAAGGCCCTTTAAATAGGCCTCAAACCCGGAGATTTAGGGTTTCATTACACAGCGCAGACTCGCCGAGTCCATATCCTGGACTCGCCGAGTCCAGGCGCGCACCAATGTTCAATTCCGCGTCTCTACTCGGCGAGTCTGAGCTCCAACTCGCCGAGTCCCTCTCACAATATGACAAAATTAGATTTACAAGATACCTGGTAAAATCCGGATGTTACAACTCTCCCCCACTAGAACTAGACTTCGCCCTCGAAGTCTCGCTCTAAAATAGCTCCGGATGCTGCTCCCGCATCATACCCTCCGGCTCCCAGGTCATTTCTGATCCCTTCCGATGTTGCCACTGTACCAATACCAGAGGTACCTCCTTGTTCCTCAAAATCTTGATCTTCCGATCCCTAATAGCCACTGGTCTCTCAGCATAATTCAGGCTTGCATCTACCTGAATATCCTCTAATGGAACCACTGCCGACTCGTCGGCTATACATTTCCTCAACTGCGATACATGAAAAGTGTTGTGAATCTGCCCCAACTCTGCTGGTAACTCCAGCCGATAGGCTACCCGTCCTACCCTTTCGATCACACGAAACGGACCTATAAACCGGGGCCCCAATTTGCCCCTCTTCCTGAACCGGATCACTCCTTTCCAAGGAGAGACCTTCAGGAGAACAAAGTCGCCGACCTGAAATTCCAGCTCGGACCGGCGTCTATCCGCGTAACTCTTTTGTCGGCTCTGAGCGGTCAATAACCTCTGTCTGACCAGCTGTATCTGCTCTGTCGTCTGATTCACGATCTCCGTACTGCCCATTACCCTTTGCCCAACCTCTCCCCAACATATGGGAGTCCGACACCTCCTACCATACAACAGCTCAAAGGGCGGCATACCGATGCTCGAATGATGGCTGTTATTGTAGGAAAACTCCGCCAAAGGCAAATACGTATCCCAACTACCCCCAAAGTCCAATACACATGCCCGAAGCATGTCCTCAAGTGTCTGAATCGTCCGCTCACTCTGGCCGTCGGTCTGGGGGTGGTATGCGGTACTAAAATGCAGCTTAGTACCCAACTCCTCATGAAATTTCTTCCAGAAGCGGGAGGTGAAACGCACATCGCGGTCTGAAACGATCGAGATCGGCACCCCATGCCGAGATACAACCTCCCTCACATAAATCTCCGCCAACTTCTCCGCCGAAGAACTCTCACTGATGGCAAGGAAGTGAGCGCTCTTCGTCAACCTATCCACAATCACCCAAATTGCATCGACTCCTCTGGCAGTCCTCGGCAATTTGGTGATGAAATCCATAGTGATCTGTTCCCACTTCCATTCGGGAACCTCCAATGGCTGCAACTTGCCATGCGGTCTCTGGTGTTCGGCCTTTACCCTTCGACAGGTCAAACACCTCTCGACAAACCATGCGACATCCCTCTTCATACAAGGCCACCAATACTCCTTCCTTAGGTCCAAATACATCTTTGTAGCCCCGGGATGGATCGAAAATTTCGATCTATGAGCCTCCTCCATCAATGTAGTACGTGTACCGCCTACAAACGGTACCCAGATCCGGCCCTGATAAGTCATAAGGCCTCGACTATCCGATACGAACTCCGAAACCAACCCAACGACCCGCTCTCTCTTCTGCATCTCCGGACGCACAGCCTCGGCCTGTGCCCCACGAATGGCGTCCAGAACTGGAGCTATCACAGTCAGTCGCAAACATACATTTCGCAGTGGAGCACTCTCCGCCCTGCGACTCAATGCGTCGGCTACCACATTAGCCTTGCCCGGGTGGTACAAAATCTCGCAATCATAATCCTTGACCACATCTAAC